AAGTAGCAAATAATGAACTAGAACAAATACCTGGCTTTTTGCTAACAGCCTATCTTTAAACACTGATAAAACTAAGTTTCCCTTATTTCATTCTAAATAAAAGTTTCAATCTATTCCAAAATCCTTACCAATGCTATATATAAATAACATCAAAATTGAGCGCTCATTCACAAATAAATTACTTGGTATTTTAATAGACGAAAACTTATTCTAGAGAGATCATATTAAACATATTAGCAATAAAATCTCATAAAGTATTGGCATTTTATATAAAACCAGATAAATATTAGACAAATCTACCCTAACTCAACAATATTTTGCATTCATAAATAGTTATTTATCTTATGGCAATATTGTTTGGGATAGTACAAATAAATCTAAACTCGACTGTCTCCTTAAACAACAGGATCATGCAGCACGCATTATTCATTTTAAAAATCGCTTCACAAATCCTAAACCTCCTCTAAAAAGCATGAGGGCACTTGATATTTATAAGCTAAATATTTTCAAAATTACACAATTTATGTTTCAACATCAGTAAAAAAAAACGCCAAAGGTTTTCAAAAATATTTTCCATAAAACGTTAAACTGATACAACACGCGATCTACCGGAAGATTTAAAAAACCTTTCCGTACATCAAAAATTACAAGCTTTGCCGTTTCCTATCGTGGCCCAATGCTATGAAACCATTTTACAAGCCTGAGTGGTAAACTTAAAGAAGCCAATACCACTCAAAAATTTAAAAAGAATATAATCGAACTTATTGCCAATCAAGATTCTTTACATGATTTTTTCTAACAATACACTTTTATTTCCAATTTTTATTATCAAAGATTTCATTGTTGTAATTCTACAACAATGAAAGGCCTCAGAATGGAAAAAACAAACATTAATGCTAATGTGTAAACATAATTTATGTAGTGATAAAGTAATAAACATCTCCTCAGAGTCGCGTCTATTATTACAGGCGTTTCGATGAGGATCAGCACTTATAACTAGTTTATCTCGTCAGACAAACGTCATAGCCACTTGTGCTTTATATCATCATTTCATCAAAAAATATTGGTGCTTTACAAATTTGGGGTTGGTTGGGTTTTGGCTATTTGTAGTGAGTTCTTTTTTACTGCAGTATGGAATAGGCGTAAGTCGCGGGGTAAAGCATAAGTGGCGATGACGTTTGTCTGACAGGATAAACTTTTTAAATGCTGATCCTCATCGAAACGCCAGTAATAATGGACGCGACTCTGTGGAGATGTTTATTACTTAATCACTACACATCAGCATTAATATATTTTTACACATCAGTATTAATACATTTTTTCCATTCTGAGGCCTTCTATTGTTGTTAGCATACTTTTTATTTTGTGATCGGTTTTTTGTTTCATAAGTTTTTTGTGTGGTGATGTATTTGTTGTATATCTTCGTTAATATTAGTGTTTATAAAACAATTTTTTTTTTTACTGTTATTGTTGTTGAGTACTGTTTTGGGTGTATAATCTGTCTTATTTATTTTAAAATATTCCTCTATTAATCTTTATTATTGTCTTGACAACTGTCAAAATATGCTTTGTTCAATAAATAATTCTCCTTTATTCTAATGCACTTCATTTCTTCCCTCAGAGAATTTTCACTTCATACTTCGTACTTCATTTCTTCCTTCAGGGAATTTTCCTCAGGGAGCGTTCACTGCTCGTGTGTGACTATTTGGCGAATTTTATATGCCAAAGTTTTTAAATAATTCAAAAAAAAAATAACGAACTTATTGCCAATCAAGATTCTTTACATGATTTTTTTTAACAATACACTTTTATTTCTAATTTTTATTATCAAAGGTTACTGATTATAAGATTTTATTTTCTTCATGTTCTCCGGTCTCGTAACAAATAATAAAATGTACTTGTATTTGATATTTTTAAATATTTTTCGGAAATTACCTTTAATTGTAAATGGTTGCTTGACAAAAATAGTTAAATATATATAAAAATATATCTACAATCTAGATTAAATAACCAAGCCATTTTTTTTTTTTTTTAATTGTTTGTCTTTAATTGTTTGTAATTTAATGTAAGTATGAAATAAATAAACTCAGAAAGAACTTTTGTTGTTGTTTTTTTTTTTTTTTTTTTTTAAATTTAGAGCCCACGATAAAACGGGAGGGCCAGCCCCCCTCTCCTCTCTCAATTTATAAAGGACTTAAACGGTATGCACATACATAAAAATATATATAGAGACTTGTTGAAGGTTATGGAAATTCATGATGGAAATAAAGATTCTTAATTTTAAAAAGACTAACGCGGATTTTATTTTACTGTTTTTATTCTTTAATTTTAAAAATTACTTTTAAAGCCTGTTGTGTTGAAGAAGGTATTGGTCAAAAATTCTTTTTTTGCGGGTTTAATTTTTTTTGTAGCTATAGGTGGAAACATTAGGTGCATATCGTCCAGAGATTTTAATTGATTCGAAGTTCTTTGTGGCATCTTGCTAATAGTACTTTTATTTTTTTCAAAACTGTTAAAATTGGTAGATTGTTGATTCTAAAAATAAATGAGAAATAAAACATATTTTAATAAAGCGTATTCAGAGCAGTCTTTTTGGGTAAGTTGGCCTAATTACGTTAAATTTTGAACTAGGACAATTGCTGTACACACGTAAACGCGGCAAACATATAGCAGCCTTGAACAAAAACCGTCAATGGTAATGTGCTACGCTCCAGTCTAATTTTATTAATAGGTAAGCTTGATACCAATTAAAGTTTGTTTATAGTCTTTTTATTGTCCATCTGTAGTTATTTATGAGGGTCATCAAATAATAGATTAATAAATTTCAAAAATATTAGTAATTACTCAGTAATTTCTTTGTTTGTCTTTCATTGTAATATACATATTTCATGTTTTTATGATTTATTAGATCACCATATTTTATACATTTTTTTTAACTAGAAAGAATAGCTAAAAAGCAACAAAAAAAAAAAAGAAAAAAAAAAAGAAAATGAAAGTGGATGAGAGAGAAAAAAATAGTAAAGAAGAGTAATCAAAAAATCAAGAAACAGAAACGATATGAAAAGTCAGATTCATCAATTTCCATTCTTGAGTTTAGCAATGGTGAAGATTTTTATTGTTATACAAATTCTTCAGATGAAAATTTTAACTTAAAATCTATGGATAAGGGATAATATTTCTTCTTATTGGTGGCCAGATAAGTAAGGTAAGATTGTATGTATAAAGAAACAAACCTAATGAAAATCCTCTACCCAAACTTGTGTTCATAATGTGGGTTACAGGCCCGTACCAACCAAGGGGGTGGGGGGGGGGAGCAGCAAAGGCATTCTCCCCCCCCCCCCAATAATTTTTCAAATAAATAATTTTAAAGTTAGTTTTTAGAAAAAAGCAAACTTTACAAATTAAGAAATAAAAGGAAAAAAAAAGATAGAAATGACCTAATTTGTTATCCGTATTTTCGGCGTAAGTTCTTTTGACAAAAAATTTTGATCTACTCCTATTTGACCTACCTAGTAGTATTGCCCCCCCCCCCCCCATATAATTTTTGTTCCTACGGCCTGGATTATACATTATATCAGAAATAAAATGTTATATTTGTGCAGTATCACTTCAAAAATATTTAATATTTCTATATTACCCATAATAAAATAAATTATCACTGCTTAAACTTTTCTCTTCTCGAACATATGATCAACTACTAAAGCAAAGGATGTCATTACGGAAAATGAAACGACGGTTAATTATTAACATAAAACCATGTTTTTTTAACCATGATTTTATGTTAGTAATTAACCTTTGTTTCATTTTTCTCGAGGTAAAACCCAGTGGGCACGGAAGTAAAAAAGGACGTCTTTTAAACGTCTTATACACGTTTTAGACGTTTTCTGAACGTCTTTTGACTGTTTTGGACGTATTTTAAACGTTTAAAAGACGTCTTTTTAACTTCCGTGCCCACTGGGAACTACCAGGTCAATTACTGGTACATTTATCTTACAATTATAAAAGCAAAAATTAGTAATAAAGTAAAATAACTAAGAGAATAAAAAAATACAAAATAACAAATAATTAAGAAGTGTTAAAATGTTTCCGATTTGCTAAAATGTTTAAGAAATATGTAAACAAAAATTCTTGAATAAAAAAAAATTAAATTTCATAACTAACATAGTCACTAGATAAATTTTTAACATCGTCACTTGAATTTAAATGATATAAATAAATCTGTTTATTAGGCTTATTTTAAAAGAAGCATTTAAAGTGGGATATATTGAGATCCATGAACAATAATAATCGCTTTGATTCAATCTTAAATTGCTTTAATGTAGTTTTTTTTTTAACAACCCAGGAAAAAAGGTTCTAAAGAATTTCTACTAACTTTTGAAACATTTGGCATATAGAAAGTCTATAGAATTTCTGTAGAATGTCTATTAATTTCTATAGAAATTGCTATAAAACTTTTTTTTCTGTAGAAAAAAAAAAGTAGAAAAAAAAGTTCTATAGGAATTTGTATAGAAATTAATAGACATTCTACAAAAATTCTATAGAGTTTTTGTAGAATATAAGACCATGTTTCAAAAGTTTATAGAAATTCTATAGAACTTTTTTTCCAAAGAATATCTGGAAATATTTTCCACAAATTAGGTCCGCGATCTTATTAACAATTTAAAACTAGCTTCCTATTTAATTAAATACTGCAGTATTCAATTGAACAGGAAGTTAGTTTTAAATTATACTATGGAACACAAAGTTGTTATCTGAAAACTTTGTGTTGAGTATTTGTGGTCAGGGTCCGTGAACAAAGACTTTTTATTTTTTTAAGATCTCTTCGGGACGGCTCTGGTTATGGTTAATTTTACCAAAATAAAATTGAAAGATTTTTCAAGATATTTTGGAGAAAATATCGCATTATTTGTAAAATATTGCTGTGCTACAGGTAATCTTTTAACATTAAAATTCTAACCTTAAACTTCTAACTTTTTTTTAATAAAAAATAATCAAAAACTCTATTTGGTATAACTAAAAAAAAATAATAAAAAAAACATATAAAGAAAATTAATAAATACATTATTTGCATAAAATAACAATAAGTTAAGAAAAGTACCATAAGCTAACATAGTTTAACATAATCTAGCATAATCTAACAATCTAACAATACTCATTAATAATCTTTTATGAAAACGTTTTTTTGTAAGGTTGTTAAACTAACCAGTCAAAAGAACTATAATACAATCAAAAATATTTAATAATGAGTCATTATTAAATATTTTTGATTGTATTATAGTTCTTTTGAATGGCTAGTTTGAATATCTTACAAAAAAAAACGTTTTCATAAAAGAATGTGCTTGCTGTTAGCAAAAAAGATGGTAAAGTTTTTAGAGAATTATTGGAAATCTCCAGTTTGACCTGTAATGCACCAATCTAACGCCAATCTATTGAAACATTAAGTACGACAATTTTGGTAAGATAAGCAACCAACTTTATGCCAATACGAAGCCAACTGTAACGTTATGTTGGGTCTAACTATTGACATATACACAATGCCAACGTTGGCCCAGCAAGTAGCCACTCATATGCAAACGCCATGCCAACATTCGTTCAACTAGTTGCTTTAATATTTATAATACTAATATGAAGTATAATATGTTTACTATTTTAATAATCGAGAGACTTGTATTAAATAAAGACAGCAATTTGCCACGAATATTGCTAAATTTATTTAGCTACCAACAGTTTTTTTTTTTTTTTTTATAAACAATAAATTTATACTTATTTCTAAGATATAGCAAATATAAATAAAACAGTAAGTATATAAAATGTCATTTTTTTGACTATTTTGCCTTATTTATAAAAACATTAAATATATTACAAATCTTTTTTTGTTGCGTTGGCATGCCTAATATTTGATTTGCCAGTTTGGCAATTTTATGATTTTTAAAATTAACTTAGTTTAAGGAGTTAATCTATATCCTTCATACAAAAATATAATCTAAGTATATCCTTCATACAAAAATATAATAGTTAATCTAAGTATATCCTTCATACAAAAATATAATAGTTAATCTAAATATATCCTTCATACAAAAATATAATAGTTGCTTTGAAAAGTTATAAAAATATTATTTTTTAAATTTAACATTAAAATATTAAGCTTGTCTTCAGGACCAATTTTAGGAAAAAAGTGTTGGGAAGGAGGGGGATGAACCTTTAAAAAGTACCGACTGCCTTCTAAAAAAAAAGTCCTTAAAACTAAAAATTTGTTGATTAAAATGTGGTAAATGCCGAGTATATTCCTGAAAAAAACCGACTAAAAGTTGAAAATCACCTTTTTTTGTGATTTTTTTTTTTAATTTTTTAATTTTTATTTAGGTGCCCCAAGAAGTCCTTACGCAGAGTCTTATCACAGAGCACCGTGGATGAACATTTAATTGGAAGTTCACGCCTCCTTCCTAACCAATTTCGCAAAACTTGCCGAGATGTGGGGTTTGAACCACGGATTCTTTGTTTCTGAGACAAATGCGCTACCAATGCGCCCAATGGTTCAAACTATACATGCTCAAACTATACTTGCATTTTCAAACTATAGTCGGTTTTTAAAAAAATACAGTCGTGATCCCACCCTCTTTGAAACCACCCCATGTCTAGTTACCAGAAGTAATTTACAATGATTTTATTGTTTATATACTTTAACTTACTTTAGTTAAGTTGTTATTTAATAGTGAAACGCGAGGTTGTTCGTAGTCAACACTAGCTATTGCATTTGAATCCAAATCTTTTTTTTTTGATTTGTTTATTATAATATTTATATCTTGGTTTAATTTTTCTTCAAAAAAGTTTTCTTCAATACCACTAAAAAATTTCAGAAATTTTATTCACTCAATATATATTGTTTTATTTTAAGTAAAAAATAAAATTGTATACTTTAAAAAAAAAAAAAAATTTACCTAAGAGAAAATCCAAGTATTGTATAAATCTGTTTCATGCCTGCTCCGCTTGCTTTAAGTTTTTCAATCATTTTTTTATGTCTATTAAAAAATTTGGTTCGTTTTCTTTCTAAAAGTTCCAACTTTTTTTCTTTTGAAGTCAAATGTCGAGTGATCCCGTTTAACTGATTCGAATGGCGGTTAGACGTCTGAATTTCAGGAAGGTAAAACCCAACTTGAGGTTCTTCTTTTTTCATAAATGGCAATTGTGTTACTGTTGAACTCTCATAATTTTGATTTTTTCTTATTTCAGGTAATTTAACAACAGATTGTTTTTTGGCTAGTTTAGTCGGAGAACGTGTCGGAGAACGTGTATACTCATTTGATAGTGCGCTAAGAATATCATTAATCTGTTCCCCAAAAAAATATAGTTCTTTTGTTTTAACCGCCTTATCGCTTATGTCTTTAGCAATAGAGATTTTAACTTTATCACTTAAATGTTTGGATTTGGTAATCTCGTTCAAGAAACGTAATATTTGATTTAACAAATGGAATTTATTTTTTTGGGAATGACTTTCCGTATTTTGCGTTTCCATATTTTCCTTTGCAAAGTTGTTATCTTCAAAAAATCCACTTTCGGTCCATTTTCTTTGAATTGGTTCTTTCTCAAAAACAGGTTGATTTGTTTCACTCTCTTTAAAATTTGAATTATTTTTAACCAATTCAGACGTAGTTGACGGATTAAGAACCACAGACGTAGTTGACGGGTTATGAACCACTTTAATATCTGTTTTAGAGCTTGTTAGTTTATTGTTGGTTTTTGAATTTGTGTCAACTTGAGATTTGTTTTCAATTAAAGGTACCGGCAGAATTGGAGATGCCTTTTCAATCGAAGTTAAAACGTCAGCTGGAGGTTTCATGTCACTGACAGATTTCATACCATTCGGAACTTCATTATTTTTAATCAAATTTTTAATTTTTTCTAAAAGAGATACTTTTGATTGTACATTGGAAAATTTATTTGAAAACTCAATGTGTTCATCCATGTTGCTAACTAATTTATCTGACGTTTCAATTTGTTCATCCATGTTGTTAACTAAATTGTCAACATCAGTATTATTCTCGTTGCCAACAGTATTTTTTTTGCCATCTTTATCAGTTTTGCTATTTTTATTACTTTCTCTGTTTGTAGGATGACTAGTATTTTTATAAACTTCGCTATTTTTGTTAACTCTTTTGTTTTCTCTGTTATTTTTAAATGTGGGATACAATGAATCTGTTTGTGTAAAGACATCTATAACTTTTATTTTGTGCGGGACTGATGCTGATACAATTTCTACAGTTGATTGATATAATGGTATGTTGCTATTAGAGATATTAACAGAAGCTGTTGTAATGTTTTCTAAAATAATTTGACCTTCATTAGGTTGAAGAATATGTATCTCATTTGTGTCTTGTCCAGGTATATCGTTCTTTTGGAGATAGGGTAAATGATTACTTTTTAAGCTCTTCATTGCAATAATTTCCGCATTTAATAACTCAATTTTATTGTGTAAGTGTGCACACTTATTACATTTGAACTGATTTTCTTCTTCTTTTATTTTACTTGTTTCTGCTTGATTAAATAATATGGAACTTTTTTCAAGATTTAACTTGTCAACTTCTTCATGAACAAACAAACTTTTTTCTACTGTTTCAACGCAATTTTCCCGTTTTTCATTAGCGCGACGTAACAACTCACTTTCGTCTGTTTTATTATTACAAAAAGTGTCTACTGTTACTTGTTCTAAGAGTTCATTGGCTTTTGCAAGCGATTCTTCAAGATTGGTGCACTTTAATAAAGTTTCTTTGAGTGCTACTTCAAGGCTAGTACACTTTGTCTCTAGATTTACATACTTAGTTTCTGTATTTTTAAGATTTTCTTTACATTGATCAAATTCTTTTTGCACAAGAGTGCGCTCAATTTTTTTTGTTTCCTGTTCCTTTTGCAGCTTTTGTATTGTTGTTTTTTGGTTTTCAAATCTCGTTAAAGTATCTTCTAATATTTCTTTTTGGTTATTGAACTCGTGAACCAGCTTTAAAAACTCTTTTTCAAGACGTTGAAAATCAACAAGACCCTCTTGTCTCACTGACCTTAGAACACCAACAATCTCGTCTGCAGCATACTTCCAAGTATCTGCTCTTTCTTTCGTCTCCATTTTGATTTTGTGAATTTTTTTAAATTGTTCAACTACTAATTTTTTTAATTCCAACTCCCGATTATTTTTTTGCGTCGTTTGAAGCAAACTTGTTTTACTTGTAATTCCTATGAATCTCTTAAAAAGATTTTGGAGAATATTCAAACGGTTATTAGTGTCTTTAATTGCTGTTGATATCTCTGAAGAAATGTTTTCAACATTTTCAAAGATTGAATCTTGCAATTGTTTCGAGCAATCGTTTTCATTGAATGAAAAAAACACGTCCCTTAAAATATCTTCGCGATCAATACATAATTCCGAATAGGTAGCAAGTATTGCCGTGATCTGATTTTCAAATGCAGTCTGTAAACTATTGTTTTGTGAAAGTTTTAGTTTTGAAGCTGTCAAATTTTCGTAAGAGCAGTTTTGGCAAAATGAATCAAAAATATTTGCAACTCTTGCTTTGATTCCCACAAACTCGTCTCCCATTCGTTCTTGTTGACGTTTCTTTTTTTCTACATCAATTTTTTTTACAATGTTGTCTAATGAACCGAGATCATAATGATGATCTTTTTTAGTAACTGTTAGTTCTTCGATATTGTTGACAGTTTCTTCGTTTTTTAGTTTTTTTCTTTTTGAATGATATTCCGAATCATCAAGAAGCGACAAGTTTGAAGAATATTGACTGTTATCTTCATCTAAAAACAAAATTTTTGAATAGTTTTTTTATTATTAAAAATTTTATTTCGATTGCATTATAAACTAATAACTTTAAAATATTTATTTATTATTTATATAGTTATTATTATTATAGTTGAGTTATTATTATATATGAGTTAATAAATTATTATATTATATATAAGTATTATTATTATATATGAGTTAATAAATTTTGGCGGATATCATATCATAAACTTAATATTTAAATGTGCTTTTTTGTTGATTTTGATATCAAAAACTGATTGATATCAAAAAGGTGAGTTAATTTAAAGATTTAGATTAAACTGCATTGAAGGTGCCGAAGCTCATGTGATGGTAGATTTAATCTTCTTAGTCTTTTGCAGTATTGAAGATGTTTCAAGCTGGAAGCCCATTTTGTTGCTTTACATTTAACAAATTTGAGTAAAGCTAAATTAATTTTAAAACAAAGAGCCCAAATAGACACTGCATATTTAGGTTGTCTGATAAATACTTTATATAATTTGAGAGCTTTATTTTCATTATTTATTGTAAATGCTTTTTTAACATACAAAGAATTTGTAAAAATTTAGAGACAACTGTTTGAATACGTGTACTCCACATATTCCAACAGTTACTATACATATTCATTTTTACATCTAGCTTGAGGCTAGATGTAAAAATACTGCAGATCAACAAGATTAGTCCCCAATAAGGTTTTTTAAAAAAGTTTTGTATCATCGGCAAATATCTCAGAAGTTTCAGTAAGTTTTGCAAAATCATTCCAAGATCGTGTAGAGAATGATGAGAAACGGGCCTAGAGCTGAACCTTATATGTAAAATGTACAAATATTAGTAAATTCAAAGACCCTTTTTTAGCAACTAATAACATATATAAATTTTATTTATTTTGAGAAATAAAATCCAAAGAAATATATTACACATAATTAATGAATGTTTAGTGATAAATAATTTAAAGTAACAATTTAAATGTCTGAAAAAATAAATTAAAATCCGGGTAATGAATGTCTAAACAAATTGATTAATTACTTAAGTTATTTATTTTTGTTATTGTAATTAATATCTAATAAGTAATTTTTACACAGCTTCATTCTGTATGATAGTGAGTGTAAAAAAATTCATGCGACATTTGCGCAATCTATACGGCGCGATCTTTACAGCGTTACGGAATCAAGGAATCAAGGAATCAGGGAATCTGTGACAAAGATGCTTACTTTATAGATAAATATGTTTTTTATTTTCAAAATTTAAAAAAATTATTAAAACAAAAATTATCTTTATTATACCTTAAATATACCCATGTCAGATTCCCTGATTGCTTTGTATATATATATACTTCGCCGTTTAAATAAATATTAAATAACCAGGGAAAAAAAGGAGACAATTATAGTCTTATCATTGAGTCCTTTATTTTAAACCGTTTTTTTTTACATTACAAACAATTATTGTTTAAAATTTACTTGAAATAAATTTTAATTAACTAAAAACAAAAAGCAAAAAAACAAAAAAGTATAACACAATTTAACATAACACAATAAAAACCTCAACATGTACTAGTACATCTTAGTACTAAGACAAATTTCTCAGTAAAATTTTTTTAAAACATTTTTTAAAACATTTTTTTAATTCAATTTTTAATCAAAAATTGAAATTCAAAAAATTAATTCAATTTTTAATAAAAAATTGAATTAAAAAAACATGTTTAAAAACATTCTTTTTAATTCAATTTTTTATAAAAAATTGAATCAAAAAACATCTTTTAAAACATTTTTTTTAATTCAATTTTTTATAAACAATTGAATTAATTGTTATTTTAAAACATGTTTTATAATAGAAATAAAAATAAAAAATAAAAATAAAATTAAAAAGTTAAATAAGAATATTGAAGTTAATGTAATAATTGCTATGAACTTAACTATCATCAAACACATCAATCTTAACATCATCTTAAGGCATCAATCTTAACATCATCTTAACGTCATCAAACTCATCAATAAATATACTGAAGTATATTATTTTTAACTATTCTATGCAACGGTTTATATAATTATTTATCGAAACAGATCCAATTCAAAAGCGAATAAACATTTACAAAAAATCAATAAAAATGAATTCATTTAAAGTGTTTTGATTCCAGCGGTTCTCTACTACAAGACCTCAAGGATATCTTCGAGTTTTCGCATTCTTTATTCCTAATTTTTATTGTTATATTTATTGTCATATTTCTATTGTTAACGAAATCTTTATTGTAAATATTATTTATTTATTTTTTATGTCTTACGTTTTACGCTAAAAAAAAAAACAAAAACAAAAAAAAACTGTGAAATATTGTGTCAGTAAGTCGGTAGGCCATAAACTTTTGAGAAAACTATTTTCAAAAAGGTTTATTTCATTAATTCATCACAAAATCTTTACAAAACTACTTTTTCCATTTTATTAATTTTTATTGTAGGGTTAATCTACAAGTTGCAACAAATTTTGATATACTGCGTAACACTGTTTATTTATATATAGATAAAAAAACGACAGTCATTCAGCAAAATAAAAAAAATAAAAAAATAGAGTAACACTATAAAAGAATTCAAAAAAAAGGTCATCAGGCAAATGGTTTTATCACCAAGTACCGCTATACATTTTCATTCATATAAAGATATACTCCCGAAAATCTAATTACATTATACTATTACTAAAAGCTAAGATAACAAGTACCTACCCAGCAAACATTCTAAAGCGAAATATTTGTTGATGACTAACCACTAACCTTTAGCTGATGACTAACCACTATTAACATGTCGGAAAGTTATTGGCTTGACATTTTATATTTCCGACATGTTAACTTTCTACTGCAAATCCACTAAAACAATGTTTGCTGGGTTATATGTATATATATATATATATATATATATATATATATATATATATATATATATATATATATATATATATATATATATATATATATATATATATATATATATATATATATATATATATATATATATATATATATATATATATATATATATATATATATACACTTTTCTAAGCTTTCTCATATCATAAACAAGACGACTGAAAAAGCGCGATTTTTGTAAGTGCGAACTGGCATAACTGCAAATGACGTAAGTGCAAACTGGCTTAAGTACGAACTTGCATAAGAGCGAATTGGCATAAATGCAAAGTAGTTACAAAAACTGGCACAAGTGATAGCTCACACAAGTGTAAACTGGCATAAATGCGAATTGGCTTAAGTGCGAAATGACAATTCCCACTTATATTAATATTTACAATTTTATTCGGCGCACTTATGTCAGTTCGCACTTTTGCCAGTTTTTGTAATTGCTTCGAACTTGCAGTTCAAACTGGCAGTTTGCATTTATGTAAATTCACACTTATGCCAATGTTTGCAAATTTATTTGACGCACATATACTGATTTGCATTTATTCTAATTTTTGCAACTGATTCGCATTTTTTACAGTTTTTGCAACTGTTTTGCAGTTGAAATTTGCGCTTATTCAGCCTTTCGTCGTAAACGTTCAAGCAAAAGTTTTATCTAAATGCAAGTTTTAGTCTAAACGATGATTTCCTCGTTTTCCTGGGAAACTTTTTTAAATTTTGCCATAAAATCAAAACAATATTTATGCGAAAAAAGATGGTAGAAAACAAAGTATATCAACATAAATTTTTAAATAAATCTATTAAACTCAATGGTAAATTATGAAAGACACCTACCGCTGTTATACCTTTTAAAAACATATTTGGGGGAGTCTTTTTGGTTGCTAACGAAATTGCTGATTTTTCCGTCATGTTTAATTCTACCTTCACCTAAATAGCCATCAAAAAGTTCTTCCGAATGACGGGGATTAGTTGTATTTAATAGCGCTTTGTCTGAATTTGTTACATTGTCAATACGCTGGTGTTTTATCCACTTTTTTTTAGACTCAAATGGAAGTTTTCGATGATCGTAACGTATAAATACCATGCTAAAAACATTGTTCCATGTATTAAAAAAGCAACTGTTCTAAGAAATCATCATGTAGAGTTAATTAAAAAGTGTAAAAATGTTACAGTTACAGTAAATGACGTCAAATAAAACTTGTTGCAAGAAGTTAATAATACTAGTTTTCTTACAAATAATTAGGTTGCTTCTTACAAAAAATTAATTACATTGCTTCTTACAAAAAAAAAAAAAAAAAAAAAAAACATGAATTTTTTTATGGAGTGTGTATATATAATGGAAACGGTAAAAAAAATTTAAAAATTAAATCACCAAAACATACGTCAAAAAATTAATTTGGTTTTCAAAAAATTTTAAAAACTTTCAGCAACGTTCGAGAAAGTTAATAAAATTTACAATAATTGATTAGGTTAATAAAATTTACAACAATTGTTGTAAATTTTAATATAACTTAATAATAATATATCCACAAAGTATTATAATACTTTTTGGATATACTACTATTACTTTATGTTTATAATATATTTACAATATTATATATATATATATATATATGTATATATATATATATATATATATATATATATATATATATATATATATATATATATATATATATATATATATATATATATATATATATATATATATATATATATATATATATATGTATATATAATATTGTAGAAACTCCAAAGTTAACATTACCACCAAATAAGAGCGAGTTATTGCAGATAACAGAAAATGTCTTTTTGTTACAAAAATTTAAAATGTTTACACTTTAAAAATAGATTAGAATTAAAAAATGAGCAAATTAACAAAAAACATTTAAAAACATCAAGTAGAAAACTGCAAAATACTGCAAGTAGTAAAAAAAAGTTTGAAATGTTGTCAGTATGTTTTGTAAATTCTAATCGAAGTGAATTACTTCCTTACCTAGGCAAAATAATCGTTTTTTGTATAAAATAGTATGGAAAATATCAAACTTATAGACAATCTCTACTACCTGTTTGAACCTTATCTTTTGCTTTCCCGTTTAGCAATATGTTTTTTACGTTCTAAAAGAATTTTTTTTTTGTGAAGGAACATATTAAATCCGTTTGTAAAGGAAATTTATTAACTGTCGTTTCAAAAAATACGCCATAAAAAAATAACAATTATTTAACTTCTAAATCAGTGAATATATTTTACCATATACTTTATCATGTTTTTCTGAACTTTAATCTTTTACTAGTCGTACCCAAATGCTTCGCATCTTTACAGAAAACACTTTTAGATTCATTCTTATTCTTCTGTAAATGGTCTACAGAAATCTCAAAAACATTCTTGCAATAAAATCTGGAAAAGGCTTTCCACAATTTCTTTCCATTTAGTATTTGCTGTCAAAGTAATGAAAATCAGGTTTCCCATCCAGTGATATGTTGGCAAGTATATCTTGTAAAAGTTCATGCATATTGTTTTGACCTCCTGAGTAATTAGACGATAATAATATATTTCTTCCTGGAATCATGCTTGCACGATCTGCAATATTCTGAACATAATGCTGTAAATCATTACACTCTAATTAAAGATTTTTCTGATTCTAATAATACCAATTAAATCATTTGATTTTTTTGAAGAAAATTGGCTGTTTCACTCAATATTAAAACGAGCGTGACTTCTGCGTGAAGTCTCGAGTTTATCAACAAAAAAAGTATTTCCGCATAAAAAGTGTAAAAATTTTCAAACTTTAAAAAAATAGTAACTTTTTTCTATAAATGCTTTCATCTTCAATATAAAAAATATAAAAGATTCCTCTTTCCTTGTTAAATAAATATTTACATGAGGCGGAATAAAAATAAATATTTACATGAGGCGGAATAAAAATAAATATTTACATGAGGCGGAATAAAAATAAATATTTACATGTGGCGGAATAAAAATAAATATTTACATGAGGCGGAATAAAAATAAATATTTACATGAGGCGGAATAAAAATAAATATTTACATGAGGCGGAATAAAAATAAATATTTACATGAGGCGGAATAAAAATAAATATTTACATGAGGCGGAATAAAAATAAATATTTACATGAGGCGGAATAAAAATAAATATTTACATGAGGCGGAATAAAAATAAATATTTACATGAGGCGGAATAAAAATAAATATTTACATGAGGCGGAATAAAAATAAATATTGCTAAAATATTTTTAATGATTTAAAACTTTTCTGGTTTTTGCGGAAAATTGCGGAAAACTTGAGATGGGCCAACGAAGATTTGATAACATAGGTCTGTGCTTGATTGTTGAAATTTAGAAAAGTTAGCCATGAATGTCCATTCTATCAAATTCCTACGTATACAAGTGATTTTTATACAAAAAGTCTGCTTTTAAACCATTTATTATTTTTAAATCCATCATGTACTCAAACTTGCATAAATTGAGGTTGTTCACCATTAGTTAGCTCTAATTTCCTCACATGAGATAAACGTGCCCATTTACTCTCATTAATCAAGGTATTTTTTACAAACACTCAATCGTTTTTTTATTCCAAACGCGTGATTGAAGAAAATACTGTTACTCTTTATTTAAACTCTTGTTTAAAAGGGTATTTTTAACAAAGATTGTTGGGGTTTTCAACAAAGGTTGTTGGGGTTTTAACATGTGTTTTTTAAGTGAACAATTACAATACTGCTCAGTGACGGATCCATAATTTTTTGGTGGGGAAATACCAAACTCAAAAAAACTTTTTATGTTTACAAAAGAGTTTTTTTTTATTATTTAATGGCCCTTTTTGATTAACAATTGAAGCATACCCCATACTCCCTCTGAATCCGTCACTGATACAGCTACACGTAACACCATTTACACCATTTACCTTGAAAAACTTTCTCGAGTTAAGCTAAAATGACTTAAAATAAGATATTAAAAATTTTTTTAAATATCAAGCTCTATTTTTTAAAAGTTTTTAAAAAGGTTGTATCAAACAAACTAATCCTTAAACACCTCATTTTACCTTCCATTACCCTTTACAATCTCCCAATTATTTACTATTTAATTCACCATTTATCAAAACTGAATGTATGTATCTCAAAGTATGTTTGGTGTATTTTTAAGAACTTGTTGCCAGCAAGACACAATACTTTCAAGAGCTCAAAAATACTTTATTGAGAATTATTATCCTAATGAAAAGCATTTACCTTCTGCAATTTTTCCAAAAAACTATACTAAGTAATGTGCTAACACAATATAATTTGCTCTGTTGACAGCTAATTGACGAGATATTTTACATGCATATAGCTTCCATAAAAATCACTAAAAATAATTCTAAAAAATATAGGCTACTTAAGTTACTATTGCAAACTTGAATCAAAAAAAAAAATTATCTTAGAGATTTTTTTAAAGCAAACAGACAAACTTTTTTCTAAACTCAGACTGCAAATCAATTGTGAAAAAAACAACAACAACAAAAAAAGTGCGTTCCTATATTTGTATATAGATTTACAAAAAAATAAATTAATGGATTAAATATGCTAACATTTGCACCTGCTCAAAAGTTAAATGTATCCAATTCAGTGTGTTGATTGGTCACTCTCATTAACAATTTGAGCAATAACCACAAAGACGTAAGACACAAGTGCTGAAGACACTAGAAAGTATAAAATGATATCAACATGATCATTGATTAGCTAATGAGCAAGTTGAAAAGAAGAAAATTGGTCAGTTTGGTTTAGAAATCTCGCCTTTTTCACTAATTCAAGTCAAATTAATAAATAGCAATACAGAAAAAAAAAGGGTTTTAAACTTCATTACGTTTTCTTTTGTTAGAAGAATTTGCAGACAATTTAAGTTCAATCAAGTGTGGTGTTTGTTTCAGTATATTTGGTAATTTGAACCATCATAAATGTAATTTAATATATTATCAAGTTTTAAATAAGGTTAACAAGTGATAGAGATTTAGAGTAACATCGAAGTAGTTGAGAATTTTCCTGTTGCATTGTATATATATGCGCAAACAACTAATGAGTGCCTAAAAGTAGTGAAACTTCTAGTACTATCAAAAAGTTACGTATTGTTGTTTATTGAATTTGAGTTTATTTATTTCAGAAATCAATTATATAATACATTTATATATTTTGATAAGAAAGTGCTACACCAGGCACTTCCATACTGAAAGAAGACACTCGCGTTACCGATCATTCGTCTATCACGAATTTCAATTTATGAACACTAACCTTGAACGAGTTGACTGATTCAGCTTTTATGGCATCTAAAGGTAGCGTATTCTAAACATTCACGATGCGATGAGTGAAGAAATTAAATCTTTCTTGACAGTTTTTTACCCTTTGACGTTCGAGTCGAAGATAATGTCTACGTAAAGTATATTTCTAAACCGATGGTGCGTAGACTTGAGAGTTATCAAAAATAATTTGATCAATACCTTTTGAAATTTTAAACTATTGAATCAGATCCCCTTGAACTCTCCTTTCTTTAAGAGTAGTTAAGCCGATATGAAAGAGTCCTTCCTCATATGACAAATGCTTTATTTCCGTTATTGTTTTAGTGGTTTTATGCTGTACTTGTTCTAGAATAGCAATGTCTTTTTCATTGTGTGGTGACCAAGCCTGGAAAGCAAGTTTTAACTGGGGTCTTATATATGTTTTGTAGAGTACTTTCCACAAAAAAAGTCCACGACTTCTAAAAATTTTCTTTAGTCTACCAAGTTTACTGTTGGCTCTTGCTGCTGCTGATTTGACTTGATAGCTTACTTTAAGATCGTCTGATAGAAGTACTCCCAGATCATGTTTGTGTTTAGTGACGTCCAGTTGAATTCTGTTTCCACTCAAATCAAGCATCGAATAAGTTTGAGTAGATTTACAGTAACCAGGCCCGACGTGCATAACTATACACTTATCGAAGTTGAGAGGCATATTCCATTTATGCGACCAATCTACAAGATTATCTATGTCAGTTTGCAATGTTCTTTTGTCTTTCTCAGATTTTAGAACTGCGATTATTTTGCAATCGTCGGCATAAATCTTTATGTGATGAGTAATATAGTCCGGCAGATCGTTTATATATAAGATAAAAAGAAGTGGACCGAGCACAGAGCCCTGGGGTACCCCGCTTGTTACATATTTCCATTTAGATTTATGCTTGCCGATTACAACCCGTTGATAACGATTCGTTAACCAGTTTGCTATCCAGTCTAAAATTATGCCGTTTATGCCATAGGCTTTAAGTTTGTGTAAGAGTCTGACATGTGGAACTTTATCATAAGCTTTCGAAAAGTCAGTGAAGATGATATCAGTGGCGCAGCCTTGATGCATTGCTTCGGTTAGTATATCCCGAGTTTCAAGTAAGTTCAATTTGCATCCTTTACTTTGAAGAAATCCGTGCTGTTCTTTAGATATTAGGTTAGTGCTAAGACAGTAATTTATAATTTTTTCATGTATAATAACTTCTATAATTTTGTAGGGTACCGATGTTAGTGAGACTGGTCTGTAATTGGCTCGGTTCTGCTTGCTTCCTTGTTTAAAAATTGGGGTGACATTTGATCTTATCCAAAGCTCTGAAACCTGTGAATCGCAAATTGATTTTCGGTAGATCATAACTAATGGAATTGCAAATGCTGACGCGCAGTTGCGTTAGACTCGTGGGTCTATGTCTTCATATCCTTTTGACTTAGTTTCAATGAGCTTTTTTAGCCTTTCTTAAACTGAAGTCGCCGATATGAAATTTAAGTTTATAGTGCAAGATACATTTGTACGTGATCCGAAATCTGGCAGCGAATCAGGTTTTTCAGTAGTGAATACAGAATGAAAGTAATTGTTTAGAATATCTGAAATAACTGCACCGTCGGTTATAATGTTTTTATTGTCATCTTCGAGAGCTTGAAGTGAGTTATTAGTTTCTTCTTTATTTTTGATGTAATCATAAAGTTTCTTTGGGTCATTTTTGAAAACACTAGCTAACTGATGTTCGCATCTTTTAATAGCTTTTTTTATTACCTCTGATACATGTTTACAAGCTATTTTATGCTTACTCCGGAGTGCTTCATGTGTTTTAGTTCCAGAAGCAACATATTGCCCCTAGAGATTACGTTTATGAAAAACCGCTTCTTTAACTTCCGGTGTGGTCCACCGGTCTTTTTTGTTTTGAACGGAACACAAGTCACTGGAATGTATTTGCACACAGCTTCCATATATTTGTTTACAAGTAGTTGGTAGTTAAAGTTTGCTGAATGATTAGTAAAGTTTTTGTCCCAATCATAATCCATGATATACTCTGATATTTTTTGATAGCTCGCTTTGCTCCAAATATAACGTGAATGAAAAGTAGCTGGTACTTCAAAATTCATAGTTTCAAAATGTCCAGTGATTAGGAAGTAAGCTTTACCCTTAGGTGTGTCTCCGATAGGATCATCCTTTTTGAGGTCTCTAACTTTGTTTGATTTATCGGTAATGACAAGGTCAAGAGTATTACCCACTGCATTGTTTCTTGAGTTGCGATATGTTGGGAATGTTATCATTTGAGTTAAATAATGCTCACCTAAGCATTGTTGAAACTTAGTGTCACTAGGCCATTCATTGTTGATATGCGCTACAACTAGTGTACTGTCATCAGCTACAAGTTCTTCATATGTTGTGTGGCTAAAGTTAAAGTCACCGTTTAAGAGCATGGATGCGCAGTCTAACTTCGAGAGATTGCATTTCGCGGCTTTAATTGAAAAAATTATTTTTACGAGGGCATCATCGTTATTATCTTGAGGTTGATAGATACATCCTAGGAGAAGTTTTTCATTACCAAACTTGATAATTCGCCAAAGTTGCTTAATGCTATAGTCGTTAAGTTTTTTTATACTGGTTAATACGGCAGGGATATTAGATTTAATATACATTGCCACACCCCTCCTCGACTGCCTCTGTCTTTTCTGTGCAAATGGTATCCATCAGTTGAAGTGTCTGATGTTTCATTGAAACACGTTTCAGCTACGAAGATAACATCTGGTTTTAGTTCGTTTATTAGGGGAGTGTTGATTTTAGCTTTAAGCTCTAGTATTTTATTGCTGTTTAGGGAGCAGGGGTTCTTAGATCTGGAATTCCTTTGTTACACATTCCTATTATACAGGCATCTTTTGAACTAATCAATAGTTACATTTTTGGTTTCATTTTTCTTGAATTTTTCAGTAAGATATTATGTATAACAAAGAGTGGCTAAACGTTTATTCTAAAAAAATACATTTTTTTTTTTCCGAGCAGGTTTAATGTTAGGAGGTTTTCACAGTGATGGATAAAATACAAATCCATAAACTCTCTTTTGAAATCCTCAACCGGATATACTAACATAATACCCGGAATATCAAGTACTTAACCGGGTGATAACGTGTGTATCCGTATCTAGCAGGATGTGAAAAAGTTTAACTAACTGCTTATTCTATTTTAGAACAACCAAAAAAAAAATAATAATAAAGTTTATTTACGGAAGATTGAAAAACTAATTTTCGATTATTTTGTACCAACTGTATAATTATGAGGCACAATGAAAACAAACCATGGCTGAAAATGTTTTGAATACTTTATATGTTGAAAAACAAAACCAAATTGATTTCAAGAAAGATGAATTGATATCGGAAACTTCTGTTAAAAAAATGAAAAGTACTCTGAGTTCTTCGTTTACATCAAACAATGGTGTTTCATTTCAAATGCAAATGGCTGATACAGAACTAGAAAGAATTCAAATAAAAGTCAGAGAGGAAATATCATCAAGTTCTTCTAATGATAATGCCGACTTGAATGAATTGGATACTTTTGAATCTAAATTAATTCAAGCAGTACTAGATTTTGTAAGTTGTTAAATTTTGAAGTTTTTAAATTTAAATTTTGCAAACAAGTATAAGGGAATTCAGTTGTAATATTTTCTTTATAAAAATTATATTTTACATTTTTATGCATTATTTATATTAAATTAAAATAAATAGTTTTTTTGATTTAATTTTAATGTTATGTTACTTAAAGTTGTATAACAATCGAGCAAAGTTCCCCTAAAAATTATAAAAGTTAGAAGGCCTCCTTTTTTAAAAATGACTAAAAAGGCCTTCAATCAATTAATTTAGTTCTCTCTAAAATGGAATTCTCTAAAACTTAAAGTAAGTTTCAAAGCACTAAAGTTTGCTGATAAATAAAAAGTTTTTGAGCACAAAGAAACATTTACAAATAAGTTATGCTGCTTCTACTATAGTCATTCTATTTTTTTTTGTCAATATATTTATATACGATTAACATAGTTGTATAGAGCTTAAAAAGATTTAAATAATAAGAGGTCTTTCAACTTTAGAAATTAATTGGATCCAAAGTTATTCCATTTTTTGTGCTGGAAAAACCAATGATTTTTTAACAAAGTGCCTTGTCCTTAAGTATGGAAAATTTGGCGCAAAATGGCACCAAAATAAAATAAAAAACCATCAAAAATCAAGCACAAAAATCAAAACAAACAATGTACAAAACAATAAAAACATTTAATATATAATTTCTAAACAAAATTCCTAAGTACCATTTCTTCAAGAAAACATAAGTAAATACTTGTTTTAAATTGAGGAAAGGCTATAATTTCCATTTCCACATGGACTCTTTCAAAAAACACTACTTTTTTCGTATAAATTAACCTTGAAGTTTTTAAATTATGTATTCATGTTAAAAAGAGTCCACATTCCATTAGATTCTTCATCCCTATCTAATTTGTTTGAAAGTATCAAACAAATTAGATGTGTTTTGGTGCTTAGGAAATCTTACCTTTAAAAGCTATTTTTGAAAAAATGTATCCTATTGCAAGTTTTTTTATCAATAGTGGTCTTAAGAGATGAATAATAAAAGAAATCATATTAAACATAGTACTTTCTATATATGGTTGGAAAGAATGAATCAAACTAATTGATGCAAAATACCTCAAGGTGTTAGCTTTATTATAAAAAAAGATATAAGAGAGTAAAGTTCATGAAAATTACATATTTTTTGTCAAAAATCAATTGTTTTTCGTTGTGCTTTGGAATTGCTAACTATATATAAATAGATTATATTATTTAATATAAGTCTTTATTTTAATTTAAAAGTGTTTCACTTCATAGAATTTAGAAATTGTTAGTTTAGAAAAAAAGTTTTTAATTTAGAAATTATTTTTAGATCAAAGTTGTAAAGTTATTTAGTCCAAACATAATTACTTTGTAACTTATTTATTTAAAAATTTGAAACTGATATTTTTTAAACATCTACTAAGCAAATAAGTCATAAGCCTCATCCAAAATTAAACTAACAGTTGCCTCTTATAAATATAGCGATATATCAACCTAAGCCTTATACTAATGTCATATATATTGTGGTTCTGACCATGCAATCTCTTTAAATCTTTCAGCTTGTATTTCTTTGGATTTACCTAAATATCACATTACTTTCTACTACCCTAAAGCTGACTCGGATTCTTTTCGTGATTTTTTTTGCGATGGTCCTTAGGCTGATGTCTTTTCTCTGTCTGCTTATATATGCGCCTCTTATTTAACCTCTTAAATCCAGGCAGGAATGGAAACTTTTATTCTTTCTCATCAGTTCCAAGTCAAGCCACATTCTATTTCATGATTTTCCCTTCTTGTACAGCTGCTATATCTAATCAAAATCATATTTTTTACCTTTTTCAAAAGAAAAACTCTCTTGAGAACAAAATGCCTATTTATAATGGTAAGAAATCGATGTAAGAAAGCTCCATTATTCTCAGTTCACTAAATCTTGTATCTTAGAAAGTCAGGCTCTTATCTTAGAAATTAGGCTGTTGAGACTTGAAAAATCTTTAACAGCATCATTAACAAAGGTAGGTCTAACATTGCATTTCTTATGTATGGGGCTGATCTTATCACCTCTCCCAAGAATAAGGCAGAACTGTTTGCAAAAAAAAATTCTCCAAATTTGACTCTTGAATCTAATGACTATACTCTTCCTTTCACTCCAATTAAACAGGTTAACCCATTGTTAGACATTCAAATCAATCCAGTTTTGGTTGCTATAGCCATATCTCAATTAAACTCTTCTACGTCTTGTTTTCCAAACAACATTCCTGTCATAGTTTTATAAAAATGTTCTCCAGAACTCTTTTCAATTCTCTTTAAAGTATTTAATAAGTGCTTGACTGAACTGGGTTGCTGGAAAATGGCATCAGTGGTTCAAATTTTTATAAAACTTTGGAGAACATCTGATTTTTCAAACTATCGTCCAATAAGTCTTCTATCTTTTATTAGCCAGGTCTTTGAGTCTTTAATCAACGAATATTTAACATTCCATCTTGAGTCAATTATCTTACTGTCAAATAACCAATACAGTTTTCTATCCTCTTGCTCTACGTCTGACTTGCTAACTGCTCCGCATAGTTTTTTTGTTAATACAATATCTAGTTTGAATAGCCTGCACTCACCGCAGAATTTTTTAAACATTTATATTAATACTATGGGATGGGATTTTCCCCTTTATATATAGTCTGCGGTGGTTATAAAAACATTCACTGTAGCACATTTTTAATTTTTGATTGTATCGAGTTGGAATTAACTTACATAACAAAAAAAGTAATTAAACATAGTATACGAATTTTCTACTTTTATTTGAAAATAAGCAAAGTAAATATTTTCTTTTATAATAGGAAAATCAAATTTTATTTATATTATTTATCTCTTAATAACAAGAATAATACAATTTTTTTTTTCAGATTTTATTAACAACATATGTTTAGTAAATGTCAGGATCACTTGACCGTGCATTATTTCGTGGGAAAGCGGAAATTATCCACAGAGAATAAAAAATAATTTTAAAAAAAGGAAACGAAGTCTAAACAAAGTATAAAATTGGAATTGGATGTAAGAAAAATATTTTGATAATAAAAAAAAAATAAAAAAAAAAATAATTCTTGTAACAAAAAAAAAAAAAATGATAAAAGTCATTGATAAACAAATTTTACATTAAAAGGTTTTTTTATTTTCTTTAAACATTATTCTTTTTCTTTTTGATTTGATTTTTTTTATTGATTTGATTTTTCATAGCTAAAATAACTACCACCCTAAAAAAATAAATAAATAAAATATAGGTAAACTTTTTTTAATTTTAAAGCACAAACAGATTTTTGTTATTTACTTTAAGGTTGCTTGCATTTTTGCGGTATTTTCGTTTAGCTATGTTTTGGCGCGAATTCTTGAAACGCATAATAATAAAACGTGGTCAGTTAGTCAGAAAAATTTATTCTATGCGTGAACAAACAAGGCGTGCGACCGCACGCCTTTCCTGGGAAAGCCTGATAGTACTATAATAATCGCACAGTTTAAAAATAATCTCAAATTGATCAAACTTCATGGAAATTAGTATCGAGTGGGGCCTCCTTTGGCCTTGATGGTCTCAGCTAGATGATTTGGCATTGATTTGACCAAATTGTGAGTCTCTTCTGTTGTTATATTATCCCATGCCCTCATTATAGCTTCTTTTAAGTTGTCTTTTTGTCTAAATGCTCGGTCACTAATTTTACTGTCCAAAATATACCACAAATCTCCTATAGAATTCATGTCCAGATCATCTCCTATAGGATTCATGGCCATTCCAAAACATTGGTGTTATTTGTGTCAAAGTATACCTTCTTTTGTTAGCGGTATGTTTTGGATCGTTATCCTGCTGCAGTATAAAATTGTTTCCCATTCTCAGTTTTTTAGTAGATAGTTGCAAGTTGGCTTTAAGAATTTCACAATACATTGAAGCATTCATTTTTTCATCAATAAATGTCAATTTCCCTACTCCTTTCCAACTCATACTACCCCAAACCATCACATTTCCTCCTCCATGCTTTACACTACCTCGCAAACAACTTAATTTGTAAGCTTCTTTTTTTTTTCGCCACACTTTTTGAACTTCATCCGATGAGACAAGGTTGTATTTGGACTCATCTGACCACATAATTTTTTTCCAATAAGATATCAGCATTTTTTTTTTGTACTTCTTTGCAAATTCTACTCAACATTTTATTTGTTTTGAAGTTAAAAAAGGTTTTTTTTGAACTACTTTACCTCTATATTCTTGTTTTCTAATACAATTTTTAATTGTTGAGGTTAATTGAGGGGTTACTGTGATCTTCTTGAACTTTTAAAACTAATTTAGCTGCCAAAACAAATCTATTTTTCTTCACATTAATGATAATATTGCGATCAATTGCACTAATGGTCTTGCGTTTTCATCTTCTGCTTGCCACAATAGCAGCGGTTCCATTCAAATTATGCTTCTTAACAATTGAGGACACTGTTGTAAAAGAAATTCCTGTTTCTTTTTGGATCTGACGGTAGGATTTTCCATGATTTTTTAAATCAACTACGAGGTTTCGTTGATGGAAAGACAAATGTTGTTTTGTTGATGCCATTTTGCTGAAACACTATATTTTATTTCTAAAACAAAAGTGTTCTAAAAACAATTAAAAAATTCTAAAAACTTGATAAGATATCTACAAAAAATTTCAAATATTTTAACGGAAAACTAACATTTTTTTGATATTTTTCAAATATTTTAACGGAACATTTTTTGATGCAATCTTTAAAGTTACAATTTTTTTCAAGTGTATGACTATTTTTTTTGCATACTGTATATATATATATATTAGGGCTGTTCATGTGAACACAGGAAAAAAAATTTTTTCTCGGATTTGAATGCATAGTTGTTTATTTTGTGCCATTTGACATAGTAATTGACTGTGTAAAAAATCTTTCCAATCAGATAATGTTTAGGGGGTGCTCAATGACCATAAAGTTTTACGAAAAACGTCAAAAACGTGGAAAAAGCT